GGTAAGCCAGGTCTAGAACAATACACCCAGGTTTTTAAACCTAGTATAACATAGCCTCATGCTAGATCCCTAGTAGGAACGCTTGTTTGCATCACGTGCATTTGACTTTGGCGACTCAACACAAGGGTTGGGTCCGTCTAGGACAGGTGTACCCGAAATCAAAAGACCATCCTAATGCATTTTACTTGCTACTTATACATTTATTTGCTTTGGATTGCATGTTGACCGGCTTCTAGAATAAGGAAGAAAAATTGGAAAAGTCAAATTGAGGTATGAGAGAGATAATTACCAATCTTCAGAGAATCTAGTGTCCAAAATATATCGAAACTCTGCCAAATATTTTGAAAAAAAAAAGAGAAGGGAAAATGGTTTCAAAACATTTCATTTCATGTCTTTTTATTATGTCAAAACTACCTGAATTACGCAATTTTGATTCTCACCGGATGTGGGATACGTAAGCAACTCTCACCGGGTCCAACTTCATTTATGCAAAAATAACCCCCAAAAAAAAAGAAAACAAAATGTTGTTGTTTTGTCATAAATAAGTTAGGTGGTGTCGTTCTTGGCTAAATAGCCAAAATGTCCCCCAAAAGGGCGCCAGAAGGTTGTTTTTGCAAGAATAGCCACCTATGGTTTCTTTTTCAAATTTTGGCCAATTAGCAAACACAGCCATAAAATCTTCTTTTCTGAGGTGCTGAAGGGCCGTATTTGCAAAGACAGTTTTTGTTTTGAAATGAAAATCTTTGAAAAACTGCTAATTTTCTCTTGAGTCAAAATAAATCATGGTCTTTTAACCAATAACTCTAAATAAATGTGCAGGATGAGCACTATTGAAAATGAACCTTTCACAGTCCTCGAAGAAATTCCATTAGAACTCCATATGTGGTGGAACGGCTTAGGGAAAGTCAGCAGAGATACTGTGGTAAAAGCTTTGGGCAGTCTTGTTAGTATTCTGAAAATTAAACCGAGATTGGATATAATTGAGGCTCTAATACCTTTTTGGGACCCGACGCATAATGTGTTCCATTTTCTGATTTTGAGCTAACCCTTATGCTTGAAGAAATAGCGGGCTATGCCGGTCTTAGTGGGAATCTCAGAAGTTGGTACCCAGTGGCTCCAAGAGCGTGACTCCTTATAAGTTTCTGGACTTTCTGAGTATCAGTCGGGAGGTTAAAGATGGAAATCTATCCGAAGGATTTTGCACATTCTATTCTTGTACTGGCGTTATGGGGATCCCCATGGTTTTGAGACCCCAGATATTGGCTTAACTTATTTAGGGAACAAAAATAAATGGGAAGCATGTCGAGGACTGACTTTTATAGTGGCATTCCTGGGTGTCTTAATCTGCCCAAGAAAGGACGGAAATATATAGTTGGGACTTGTGGGAATAGTCGACTTCATGACTAAAAAGGCTAATGGCACCATTGTACCAATGATCTTGTCAAAGATTTATCGAGCTCTAACCGTTTGCTGAGCGGGTGGAAAATTCTTTGAGGGTTGTAACATGCTTCTACAGCTTTGGATGGAAGAACACCTTTTCCATCATCTGGGATACATGAGCTATGGTATGACCGGTCTTAACTGCATTGAAGAACATGAAAACTGGGTGATGGGTCATGAGTTTCCGGAAGGTATGGAGGTGTGGTTCACGCATTTGAGTTCCTTGACTTCAAGCAAAATCGAGTGGACATTCGGTTGGCTCCCGGTCACTGAAGTCATTTACATGTTAGACGAGGTGTGTTTTCTTCTATTGATGGGTCTTTAGAGTATTCAGACATATGCTCCACATAGGGTTCTGTGCCAACTAGGCCGGTACCAAACTATCCCCCATGATGAAGATTTGAGTCAACAAGTCATCGAACTAGGCCCAAAAGCGGCATTCCCAGAAGAAAGGGTTCGCTAGATTTGGCATTAGTGTCGGTTCTTGGAGCCACAAACTCGGGTGCGGGATTTGTCCAAAGGCGAATTAGAGCCTAGTTAAGCAGGTTGGTACGGTAAAAGGTTTCAAGTCCATCAGGAGCCTGAACGGACCGCCAATAGGCCCCATGTCCAGCAGTTCACTGATGGAGCGCAAGAGCAATGGGATTGGTTGGCAAAAGAGACAAGCTATAGGGCTAAGATAAGCAAATTGGAGGGACAAATCAGGGATCTTAAATTTGACAATAGTGTACAGGATGCTGCTGATGAAGGGGAGAAGAAGAAGTTGGCTCAAGAAAACAAAACCCTTCGAGCACAGATCCAAAAAATTAAGATAGCTGCTGAGAATCAGGAAAGGAGCCGAATGGACGAAAGACTCATAAATGGTCTAAGGAGGAAAATATCTGAGTGCGAGGATGATTTGGAAAAATCTAAGGGTAGTCTGGCAAGAGCCCGGGCACAGTTGGCGAAGAACGCAGAGGGACGGGCAGAGTTTGTCCGACAATTGAAAAGGAGATATGATGGAGAAGTCACAAACTTGAAGAAAAAGCTAACCACCCTCGAGAATGAGATGGCCAAACAAACAAAGAGCTTTAAAACAGAGAGGGAACATTTTTATGCCTTAATGTCATGGCTAGAGGAAGATATGCAACAGTTGCAGGGCCAAAGCCATCACGACACCCAAGTGCTAGAAGCTAGGTCTCAACAAATCAGATGCTTGCTCCAAGAGAAGGGTGTCATTAGGGAGGGTTAGAGCAATTGCTGACTACATCGTCATGAAATTCCATGAATGTGAAGACATGACTAGAACCACCTTCTTCGTCGTAGTGATGACCTTTGTTCGCCAAATAATGAGTGACCTGGATCGTCTCCAAGGGGATCTTGCACATAGGCCTATGGCGAGACCGACTGATGTCCCACGGGCCCCTGGAGTAGAAGCACTTATGTATTCTTGATTTTAGTTTTGAGTCTATATTTCAAATTCTAGTTTTAGAGTCTGTTTCGAGTCTATCTTTTTTCAATTCCTAGAAAAGTATGATAGAGTCATTTGTAATAGAAAAGATTGGGAGTTTTTATGAAATTTGAAGAAAAACCAAAAATTGTGTTTATTTATATAATTCATTTATTCCTTGAACTACGTAATGATCTGGTTCACACGGCGTTGTGATACGTAGGCAATCCCCATCGGATCCGATCATGGTTTTAGATAGCTCAAATAAAAGAGAAAATGACAAAAAGAGAAAACCAAAAGAGAGGAAATAAGAAAAAGACAGAAAACAAGAAAAAGAAAATGAAAACAAGAAAGAAAACAGTAAGAGAGTGCAAAAAAGAGCGAGAGAAAAGAGCGGGGAGATAAACAAAAGCCGGGATGAGACATGCAATCATTGCAAAACATGTAGAAACATATTTAACTGTGTAGGTGCATCACGCCCCCAATGTGCAATTCCCTATGTGTTAATTGCTTCAAACTAACCAGTTTGTTGTGCCTACTATTGAGTTTAGGTTCTGTTCTAAGGTGGTTGGTTTTGTGGTAACCTGGCTTCACACCCTTACTTTACAAGATCCAAGGGTAGTGTAGAAATGTCATCAGAAGGTCATCTACCAACGATTCCCATCCTAGAGGATAGCCCGCTATCGTTTATCCCAACCTCAGAGTCAGTGGCTGCTGAAGAAAATAGGGCACTGCGCCTTCGCATGTTGAAAATATGGGACGCCTAGTCCAATAGTAGAGAACCGCCAAGTGCCATACCTGGTTTCCCCGAGCTACTTCCCAGAGCAAGTGGAAATTCCAATGTCCCAATACGTTACCCAAATACTCCACTTGGATACCCCACCATCTCAGCTCACTTTGCCGGAACACCTTCTAAGGGCCACCCCCAGGTGATTTCGGGAGTGGGCACTAACATATTCACCGCACCACCAACCTCGACCACAGCGCAACCCACTTTGTCCAGGCCAAGCTTTGATACATCATCCTTCACTTTCCAAGTACCATCTTTTCCACCAGACCCTACCCATTTCGCCACCAATTCTTACCCTCAACAACCCTGGTATGAGTTTATTGTAGGACAAGAGAAGGCTACAAAAAACCCTGAGCAAGAGGAAATCACTCGAAAAATGAGGAGCATGGAACAAAGCCTCAAGAATATACAAGGCTTGAAAGGCCAAAAGAGCGTATCCTACGCTGATCTATGCATGTTCCCACATGTTCACCTGCCTCTTGGTTTTAAGACCCCCAAATTCGAAAAGTATGACGGGCATGGGGACCCTATAGCCCATCTCAAGAGGTATTCCAATCAACTGAGAGGGGCAGGTGGAAAAAAAGAGCTTTTAATGGCTTATTTCGGAGAGAGTCTAGTGGGTATTGCATCCGAGTGGTACATGGATCACGACATATCTTGCTAGAATATGGGATGATTTGGCTCGAGATTTTGTCAGGCAATTTCAGTACAATATCGACATAGCTCCCGACAGTAACTCCCTGTCAAATCTCAAAAAGAAGTCATCGGAAAGTTTTCGAGAATATGCTGTTAAATGGCGCGAACAAGCGGCCAGAATCAAGCCCCCAATGGATGAAACTGAAATGGTCAGTATTTTTCTACAAGCCCAAGTGGCTGACTACTTTCAAAATATGATGTCTACAATGGGAAAGTCATTTGTTGAGGCTATCAAGATTGGTGAGATGGTCGAAAATGGTCTGAAAATAGGTCACATATTGAGCCAATCTTCCATAAGAGTTATGTCCCAAGCAATCCAAAGCGGGTCAGGTGGTGTAGAAAACAAAAAGAAGAAAGAAGAGGTGGCGATTGAGGCTTCAAGTCTGAGAAACCCCCATCCACCCAGAGGTCACTTCCATCCAAGCACCCCACAACATTATTATCCTCATCGGGATGTGGCCTATGCTATGTTTCCTCAGCCGTACGCAGTAATGAGCGCCAGCCATATGCTCGGCCATAACAATAGTTTAACCAAAATCGAGCTCCACTTCCTAAAAATAACCCTCCTCACCAAGCCCTATATAATCCCCATCCCCCTCAAAATAATTTTCCATACAATGCCCGTGCTCGGGAACCACCCAGAAGAACAAATTTCACGCTTATTGGTGAATCATACTCTAGCCTTTTCCCTAAACTAGTCCAAATGGGTTTGTTGCAACCCGAACCCCCAACAGACAAAACCCAGAGTCACCTTCCTACCGACTCAGTACCCGATGTGCTTATCATTCTGGGGTGGAAGGGCACGACACTGAGGATTGTTGGACTCTCAAAAGGGCAATCGAAAACTTAATAGAGCAACAAAGGGTAGTGTTGAAAGATAAAGAGATCCCCGACGTGACCAACAACCCATTGCCGGCTCACAACAACGGGCCAGTTATTGGGATGATTTGTGAAGATAACGAATTTGACCCAGCTCTAAAAGCATCATTGCCATCGCCGATGTGGAAAGGAAGCCAAAGGCTGCCGCAAAGCAAGATTAGGGGGAGAAGAAGAGTAATTTCGCTCCTTGAAGTGAAGAAAAGACTGTGGAAACCAAAACAGGGGCAGTACCCTCTAAAGACACCATTCTTTATGTTCCCTGAGCTCACAGGAAAGAACAATTGGCGTTGAGTCCTCCTAAAAGGTTCGAGCTGAACAAAGGACCCAAGATGTATGTACCCAAAGGGACTTACGTGGTGCGGGGACCAGTGATTTCACCCAGGTTGTACGAGCCCATGGTCATTAGTCACGCACTACAAAGGCCCATGAAAGACCCTACTATAGTCCCCTGGAACTACAACATAGCAATTGTGACGTACAAGGGGAAAGAAATTAGAGGGGAAGGAAATGAAACAAACCCATCTGGGAAGTACCTCAATCTGGAAGAAGTGAACAACGCCAAGCAGAAGCGCTTCCCGCTCAAAAAGCGAGTTAGTGCCGAAGAAGTAGAGGAGTTCTTCCGAAAAATTAAAACTGCGGACCATGAGGTAATTGACCAACTCCGAAAGTCTCCCTCCCATGTCTCGCTCTTGTCTCTGCTGATAAGCTTAATTGAGCATCAGAAAGTACTGATAAAGACCCTCAGTGAAGCCTATGTTCCGATTGAAACCATTGTGGAGCAACTGGAAAGGATGGCAGAAAGATTCTTCGTAGTCAACTAGATTTCATTTAGCAAGAAGACTTGCACCCGGAAGGGGCTGCCCACAACAAAGCTCTCCATCTGACAGTTAAGTGTGAAGGGTACTATGTAAAAAAAGTCATGGTGAATGGCGGATCAGGGGTCGACATATTCCCTCTCTCAACTTTGCAAAGAATAAAAATTGGGACTAAGAGTATTAGGCCTAATAATGTTTGTGTGCGCGCTTTCGTTGACATCAAAAGGGACACAATAGGGGAAATTGATTTGATCTTGACTATCGGTCCTATGGATTTCGAGGTGACGTTTCAGGTCTTGGACATGGATACCTCCTATAATTTTCTTTTAGGAAGGCCTTGGATCCATGTTGCGGGGGCCGTACCTTTTACCCTCCACCAAATGGTGAAGTTTGAACACAAATATCACGAAATTGTGATTCATGGAGAAGACGAGTAGTCAATTTATCGGGACCCGTCAGTCCCATGTCTTGAAGCTAGGGAAGGTAGCAAGCATATAGTCTATCAAGCTTTCGAGGTTGTGGTCACAGATCAATGTAAGGAGGGAAGCCCGTGTCCTCAGCCCTTTCTGTCAAATTCGTCCATCATGGTCGCTATTGAAATGATCAAGCATGGTTATAAGCCTGGGAAGGGACTCGGGGCATCATTGTAAGGTATCACAGAACCTATCACTTTAGCTGCCAGCGATAAGTTCTTCGGTGTGGGTTTTCACACCATAGAAACTGATGTGATATGGGCAAATGAACGAAAGAGCAATGGTTGGGTTCTACCTCAGCCAGTCCCGCATCTCTACAAAAAATTTGTCAAGCCCAACTATACCGAAGAAGAAGAAGAAGAAGATGAGGCCTTCACGGCTGGGGAAATTGAGGACATATGTGGAGCCATGAGGCAAATGTTATATGAAGCTCACATGGTCCAGCCTGGTGAAGGCTTGAGCACTGCTGAGGTGCAATTTATGGGGCCCGATGCCAAGCTGCAAAATTGAAAAGCTACTCCGTTCCCAGTCAGGCGAGAATCCCGATAGTCCAGTCTTGCCACCTTTTCTGCATTTCGAGTTATTCCAGGGTGTAACTCGAATGTTTCTTTTAGTTTATTGTCTTTAAATTCCAATGTAAACCTTGCTATCTTCAAATTCAATGAAATGAAATCAATATTTCATCGTTTATGAATCTCTTTCTTTATTCTTTCTGATTTTTGTTGCTTTTCTTATTTCTTCCTTTCAATTCTAATAATGCGGACTTAAATAACATGACATGCTTGCGGACTTCACGCCCAGATCATAGCACACTGTCTAATTTTGAAATAATGAATCAAGAACCGGAATATGATAAAGATGAGGCTTTTAGAGAAATAAACCGAGAACCGGAACAATTCGAGAATAAACCTAAGCCAAACTTAAATGAAACCGAGACGGTTAATTTGGGTAGTTTAGAAGAGGTCCAAGAAACCATGATAAACATTCACACAGATGAAAGAACTAGGGATGCATTGATCCAACTTTTTTCAAATTCAAAGATGTGTTTGCTTGGTCCTATGATGATATGCTAGGACTAAGTGTTGATTTAGTGGTGCACAAGTGGTTGACTTACCCCGATTATCCCCCTGTCCAGCAAAAACAAAAGAAGTTCAAAACTGATATCAGTGACAAGATCAAAGAAGAGGTCACAAAACAGTTGAAGGCTGGGGTGATCTGAGTGGTCTGATACACCACATGGCTGGCTAATATGGTTCCCGTGCCAAAGAAAGATGGGAAAACTCGAGTGTGTGTTGACTATCGAGATCTGAACAAAGCAAGTCCCAAAGACAACTTCCCTTTACCAAACATCCACATCCTTGTTGACAATTGTGCCAAACATGAGATACAATCTTTCGTGGATTGTTATGTTGGGTACCACCAGGTCTTGATGGATGAAGAAGATGCGGAAAAGACAGGCTTCACCACACCCTAGGGCACCTATTGTTATAGGGTCGTGCTTTTTGGTTTGAAGAATTCTGGAGCAACTTACATGAGGGCTATGACTGTCATCTTTCATGATATGATGCACCAAGAAATCGAGGTGTATGTGGACGATGTGATCATTAAATCCAGAACGCAGGACGACCATGTTTGGGATCTGAGAAAGTTCTTGGAGCGTCAGCGTAAGTACGACTTGAAGTTAAATCCAGCCAATGTGCATTTGGAGTTCCGTCTCGAAAACTTTTGGGGTTTATAGTCAGTCGGAGAGGCATCGAGTTAGATCCAACAAAGATAAAGTCTATTCGGGATTTGCCTCCTCCGAGAACCAAGAAAGAGGTTATGAGCCTGCTGTGAAGGTTGAATTACATTAGCCAGTTCATTGCTCAGTTGACTTCCACATGTGAGCCCATATTCAAGCTATTAAAGAAAGATGCAGCGATTAAATGGACAGATGAGTGTCAAGAATCCTTCGATAAAATCAAAGAATATCTATCAAATCCGCTAGTCTTGGTACCACCCGAACCTGGAAGGCCTTTGTTTTTGTATCTGACAGTCTTGGAGAATTCATTTGGATGTGTTCTCGGGCAACATGATGTGATCGGGAAGAAAGAGCATGCAATATACTATTTGAGCAAGAAGTTCACTAGCTACGAAGCCAAATACACGTTGTTGGAAAGGCTTGTTGTGCCCTAACTTGGGTCGCTCAGAAGCTTAGGCATTACCTATTGGCCTACACCACTTATCTCATCACTATTTTGGACCCTTTGAAGTACATATTCCAAAAGGTGATGCCCACAGGGAGGTTAGCAAAATGGCAAATACTGCTCACTGAGTTTGACATAGTCTATGTCACCCGCACGGCAATGAAAGCCCAAGATTTAGCAGATCACCTGGCTGAAAACCCTGTTGATGATGAATATCAGCCTTTGATTACTTACTTCTCGGACGAAGAAGTAAATTTTGTTGAGGTAACATCAGAAGACACCAATGCTTGGAAAATGTTCTTCGATAGAGCTGTGAACGCAAAAGGTGTCGGGATTGGGGCAATTTTGATCTCACCCACTGGTCAACACTATCCAGCCACAGTCCGGCTTCAGTTTTTCTGCACAAACAACACTGCCGAGTATGAAGCCTGCATTATGGGTATGAGTATGGCAATCGACCAAGTGTGGAAGAATTGATAATCATGGGAGATTCGGATCTGATTATCCAACAAGCTCAAGGAGAATGGGAAACTCGGGATGTCAAGCTTATTCCATACAGGCAACATGTGGAATATCTTAGCAAGCGGTTCAAATCAGTTGAATTTATGTACATTCCTCATTTCCACAATGAGTTAGCCGATGCACTCGCTACTTTGGACTCGATGTTGCCATATCCAGGCAATGTCCACATTGACCCTTTGGAAATCCAAATCCGAGAAAGGCATGGTTACTACAATGCGATTAAGGTGGAACCAAATGTTCAGCCATGGTATCATGATATTAAGAGATTTCTGAAAACAAAGGAATATCCCGAGCAAGCCAATGGATACCAAAAGAGAACCATTAGAAGGCTTGCCAGCGGTTTCTTCTTGAGCGGGGAAGTCTTGTACAAAAGGACTCCAGATCTCAACCTGTTAAGATGTGCGGATGCCCAAGAGGCCGAAAATATCATGCATGAAGTACACGCAAGAGTGTGTGGACCCCATATGAATGGATACGTCTTGGCATAGAAAATCCTTCGAGCAGGCTACTATTGGATGACCATGGAAAAGGATTGCTTTAGCTTTGTTCGAAAATGTCATCAGTGTCAGGTGCACGGTGAACTGATTCATGCACCACCTACAGAAACAGCAACGTGATCGTTCGTTGCTTGAGATATGGATGTCATTTGGGCCAATCGAGCCAAAAGCTTCAAATGGGCATAGATCCATATTGGTTGTCATTGACTACTTCACAAAATGGGTTGAAGAAGTCACTCTCAAAGCTGTCACTAAGAAAGAAGTGGTAGACTTCATGCACTCCAACATCATATGCTGTTTTGGTATCCATACGACTATCATTACGGATAATGCTGCAAACTTAAATAGCCACTTGATGAGGGAGATATGTGAATAATTTAAGATCACGCATCGGAATTCGACCCCTTATCGGCCCAAAGCTAATGGTGTTGTTGAAGCAGCAAACAAGAAAATCAAAAAGATTCTTAGAAAGATGATTTGAAGTTCGAGACAGTGGCATGAAAAGTTGCCGTTTGCATTATTGGGATATTGCACAACTGTGCGCACATCAGTTGGAGCGACACCCTATCTATTGGTTTATGGCACTAAAGCCAGAATACCTGTAGAAGTTGAAATTCCTTCTCTCCGAATCATCGTTGAGGCTAAAATTGAGGATAGTGATTGGGTCAAGACTCGTCTAGAATAGTTAACCTTGATTGAAGAAAAGTGGATGGCCGCAGTTTGCTACGGGCAGTTGTATCAACAAAGAATGGCCCGTGCTTACAACAAGAAAGTGCGGCCTAGGAACTTTGAAGTGGG